AATAGGGCTGGGGATGTGGCTCAGTGGGTGAGTACCCCTGAATTCAATCCCCAGGACCTTGCCTCCCAAAATGATTAAACCAGAGATTGTGGCTGATTCAGAAAATCAGCACTGTAGTTTACCATGTCTGAAGAGTCTTTCACAGCTTTCTAAGCAGATGGCTCTGGGAGGGGCTGTTTAGGGCTGTGGGGAGTCATGTGGGGCCCATGGCCAGGCACAGGCCTCCAGCTGGGTTGCCTGTGCAGCTGAAGGGCTGGTTGTAGGTGGGGATTAGGGAAGAAAGAACAAGTGCCAGCAGCCTGGCAGAGGCCACACACACAGTGCAAGGTCATGGTCCCAAGATCTGGCCTGACCCAGGCAACTTTCCAGGCCAGAAAATCATGAAACAAAGGCTCATTACAAACACTAGGAAAGGGCCTTCACTGCAGCTGCTTCTCTCCATTTATGGGGCAATTCCACATTGATGCTTAGGGCCGGAGAAGCCCAAGGTTCAGGAAACGGATTTGGAGGGGCCTGGGCTCCTGGCCTGTTCTGGCATCAGTGGATGGAAAGAGCCCCAAAGAATTTTAGTTCTTAATTCTTCATCCATCTCTTCAGTTGAAATATAAAGATTCTTTTCAGATCTGTCCCTGAAGTGGCCCTCCAACTTTGGGACACACACAGCATTGTGTGCCTGGACATTTCCTATAGCCAAGCAAAAGCTACAGAAAGGCCCTTTCAGTTTACTGCAAAATAAGCAGGGTTCTGTCTCAAGCCAGGGGTCCTCTGTCCCATGAGCCCCTTAACAATTCACAGACTGCATGAGCAGTGCTCTGCCTACAGTCTATTGGACTAGGGTTTCTCAAATGCCCTTTGGCCAATTTTTTTTTTATACACACCTATACAAAAAATATGTATGTGTGCAAGTGTACAGGTTTTTTTTTTCTTTCTTCTTTTTTCTTTCCCCCATTGCGGTACTAGAGATTAAACCCAGGAGTGCTTAGCCACTGAACCACATCCCCAACCCTTTTTGTTTTTTGAGACAAGTTATGGCGAAATTGTTGAAGCTGGCCTTGAACTTGTGATCCTCTTGCCTTAATCTCCCAAATTGCTGGGATTGCAGGCATGCATCACCACACCAGGCATAGATTTTTTTTTGGTACCAGGGATTGAACCCAAATGCGCTTAACCACAAAGCCACATCCCCAGCCCTCTCCCCCACGCCTTTTGAGATAGGGTCTTGCTAAGTTGCTTAGGCTGGCTTTGAATTTCAGGCACAGATACTATTAAATCAAATATCTTTTACAAATTCAAATGCACATATGCATATATCCATGTGCAGCCCTATTCTTGACTAAGATAAGTATAATTAATATTCATCAAATATGATTTGTATCAAGTAATTGACTACAAGATAATAAAAAAAAGTCTTCAGAAGGTGTGTAAAGAGCAGAATGTGGTGGCACATGCCTGTAATCCCAGCAGCTCTGTAGGCTGAGGCAGGAGGATTGAGAATTCAAAGCCAGCCTCAGCAAAACCGAGGCGCTAAGCAACTCAAATAGAAAATAGGGCTAGGGATGTGGCTCAGTTGTTGAGTGCTCCTGAATTCACTCCCTGGTACTCCTCTCTCCCCTCAAAAAATGTGTGCAGAGACGTAAGAAGTTACAAGAGTAATAATACCACCTTCCTTGCTTCTCCAGACCTAAGCCTAGTAATTTCTTCTACCTGTAGATGGCAGCACTTGAGCTCCCTTTCCTGCTGTGATTGGGCTGGTTTGGGGACTTTGCCCCCAGGCACTTTTCTAGATTGCTAGGATACAGCAATGAACAGTCGAAATCTACAGCCACGTGAGTTTGCGTTCCAGTGAGGCGACTCACAAACAAGCTATGAAGCAGGTGTTCCCTGTGTGTCAGGTAGGGACAGGCAGGAGAGGGGTGCCGGAAGGGTTTCCCTAGGAAGTAGCCATTAAGTAGGGAACTGGGAATTGTAAGGGAGGGGATCATGGATATCTGGGGGAGCAGATTTTAGGCAAAGGAAACGGCAACTTCTTTGCCCATTGTTTGGCAAGAGCCAGTCCTGGTTAGACCCAGCACTCTTCCTACTGCACACCCAGGTCTGCACAGCTGACACTTGGCTAGGGAAAAAAGCATGCCCCTGTGCTGCTGGCCCTGTGGAAGCTCACGCCCAGATTCTCAGGGTGGAGCTGGGGAGCTAAGGGGAGCCTTCGGCTGGCTGGGGTCATTCACGCTCCCTCTCCCCTAGATGGCCAGTTACCAGCAGCAGCTTCACCGGCTTCATGCTCAGCCAACCTCCTCACCTCCTATTTCACTGGCAAAATTCTAACCTTCAGAAGGCTCCCATGCTAAGATCCCAATACCTTATGTACTTACCTATTTGAGTCTTCAAATCCTTCCCCTCCGTTACCATGGGTGAGAGGAGATGTGTACTGGAGTCCAGCTCCTCTACCACTCTGGAACGTTTTTCCAGAAACTCTCCCTCCCTTTGGCATTGGTCATGCTCTTCCCCCAGCCCCACCAAGTCAGGCCAATCCCATCAACCTTGAACATGCTCTTCCATCTCCCATATTTTATGTTTTTTATTTTTATTTATTTATTTTTTAACTATTTTGGTGCTGGGAACGGAACCCAGGGCCTCACACATGCTAGGCAAGTGCTCTACCACTGAGCTACACTCCCAGCCCATCAGGTGTCCCTTTCTCAGCAAGACCTCCCCTGACCTTTGTATTTAACACCATGCCCCGCCTCATGTCCTCTTCCTGGCTTCATCTGTCTCCACAGTGCTCCTTCCTTTCCGACATCCTCTCTAAGGTCCTACCTACTTTGTTTATTGTCCACCCTTCCTATCTGTACGTACAGAAATGTATGTCCAAAGAGGACAGAAGTTTCTTCTACTTTGTGCATAGCACCTGGAGAAGGGCCCCGGCCATCACAAGTGCTTGGTAAGGTAATGTGTGCTCAGTGCAAGAAGGAATGTACGGTGAGGACAAGGAACAGCTAAGTCACCGTGGCTGGAGCAGAGCAAACAGGGGAGAATTGGGAAATTAGGCAAAGAGGCCAGATTACAGATCTTACTCTCAGTGTGGTTCAGGACACTGCTGAAGAGTTTGGAGGTGGGAGGGACAGGATCCGATGGATGTCACTGAGATGCAGGTCTAGTTGAAAGTTTCACATAATGAGTGTGACCATGGGACAGACAGTTTTTTTTTTTTTTTAAACCTCTGTTAACTTTTGAAATTCGACTGCAGGACTAAAGGAAAGCTGTGTGTTGATAGTGGCACCTGTGATATAGGCAGGGTCAGAAGGGAATGACCTCTACCTTGGAAAGGAGCCATGTTTTACTGGTTGCTATGGACTGAATGTGTTTGCCCCATCCTAATTCATATGTTGACAGCCTACTCCTGTGGGTGATGAGGTCCTGAGAGTGCAGCTCCATGAATAGAATTAGCACCTTCATGAAAGAAGTCCAAAGGAGCTCTGACACCTGCCACTGTCCGAGGACAGAGCAAGAAGGTACCATCTATGAACCAGAGAGAAGCTCACGCCAGAAACCGTCTTTGTTGGAGCCTTTGTCTTGGACTTCCCAGCCTTCAGTCCTATGAACAATAAATTTCTGTTGTTTATAAGCCACTCAGCCTATGGTACTCTATGATGGCAGCCTGAATGGACTAAGATATGGATAAAAACACAACCCTAAACGTTTCTCCTTCAACAAACAAAATTAAAGTTCATTTGTAAACACTTAGAACTCTCCATGCTCTGTTGACCTACTAATAAAAATATTCAGTTCAAGTTGTTTGCTTTTTAAACAACTGGTGTCTAGGTATGTACACAATTTTTTAAAGATATGAATCAAGAGGCGTTTCCAAGCACATGATACTGGTCTATGTTAAATAACTGTGGCTGGTTTCTAAGTGTTGTGTGCAGAATTTGAAAGATCTGTCTTGAGTATAAACAGTAACACTAAAACATTTGTGGTCTCCAGGTCATGTTTAGCATTTCAGTTATTTATTTCAGTTATTTATTTATTTATTGCAGTACTGGGGATGGAAACCAGAGACACTTACCATTAAGCTACATCTCCAGCCCTTTTAAAAATTATTTGAGACAGGGTCTCATTAAGTTGCTGAGGCTGGCCTCAAACTTGTGATCCTCCTGCCTCAGCAGCCAAAGTCAACACCCATGGGTTACTATCTTATAAGCTTTTTTTTTTTTTTTTCCAGGACTGGGGATTGAACCTAGGGCCTCACAACATGGTAGGGAAGTGCTCTACCACTGAGTCACACCCCAGCCCTAGAAGATTCTTTTAAGATAAAAATGCCTAATTCTAGCTTGGTGATGTGGTGCATGCCTATAATCCCAGCGATTCAGAAGACTGAGACAGGAGGATTGTAAGTTTAAGGCCAGCCTCAGCAATTTAGCAGACCCTCAGCAACTTAATGAGATTCTGTTTGAAAATAAAAATTTGTCAAAGGATCAGGGCTGTGGAACAGTGGTAAAGTGCGCTTGGGTTCAATTCTAGTACAAATAAAACAAAACAAAACTCTCCTAATTCTGGTTTAATATTTTATAGCAGTGCTTCTCAAACTTTATTGTGCACCCCACCCCCATCTTGTTAAAATGCAGATTCTGGTTCAGTAAATTGGGGCTGGGCCTGAGACTGGATTTTCAACAAGCTCCTGGGGTATTCAGACTCTACTTTTAGGTGAACCACACTTTGGGTTTATGGAATTTAAAGCACTCTCATGCAAGTCATCTTATTGGTCATTGTCACAACCCTACAGACAGGATTCGCTAATACATATATTCAACCGAGCACTGAGCATACAGATATGGTCTTTTTAACAAAATATTTATTTTTTAGTTGTAGGTGGACATAGTACCTTTATTTTATTTTTATGTGGTGCTGAGGACTGAACCCCAGGCCTTGCACATGCTAGGCAAATGCTCTACTGCTGAGCCACAAACCCAGCCCCCAGATATAGTCTTATAGGGTAGAAAACCAAACACTAAACAAAAAAGGCATGTAGACAGATAAATAAGTAATTATAGTTGACCCTCTTCGACACATATGGGGATTCAACCAATAGAAGGAACAGCAACAAAAAAGTTGTACATGTATTGAACATGTATGAACTTTATTTTTGCATCATTAATTCCTAAAAATAAAACCTAATGTCTATTCACATAACATTTACATTGGATTAGGCTTCATAGGTAATCTAGAGATGAGTTAAAAGTGTATGGGAGGGTGTGCCTAGGTTTATATGCAAATGATGCTATTTTATGTAAAGGACTTGAGCCTCTGTGGAGGTTTTATATCCACTGAAGGCAATGTCTGGAACCAAATCCCCAGTAGACACTAAGGGATGAGATGACTGTATGTAAGTGACTAGCCCTGAGCAGGAGGTAAAGAGAAGGCTGAAAAAGAAACAGCAGGAGGTGATTTAAGTTCAGAGGCAGAGAGGCAAGGCTCTGGACAGACACCAGGCTGCTTCTGCAACCAAAGCGCAGGGAGGGAAGACCCCCAAATCAGGTTAGGGGAGGCAGGGCTGGTCAGGTGTAGAAGGCCCCGGTAGAGTCCAGGGTATGCGTTGATGCTTTAAGTAGGGACCTGACAGGTCTGGTCTTTGCCTTAGGCTCGCTCTGCTATGTGGGAAATGAAACCTCTCCAGGGTCACATCAGAGTCGTATAGGGTGTGTCGGGACAAGCTGGGACTTGACAAGAAATCAAGACTGGTGGCCCTGGAGTCGCATGGACACACTTGGGGACCAAGAGTCTCCGTATGAATAAGATACCCACAAGGGCACCTGTTTTCATCGCCGCACGTAGGACATCAAAGGCGCGCTCGCTCCAGGGCTCAACACATGACTTTCCTTTTACCTCTTTTCAGAGGACCTGTACTTCCATCTTCGCTTTGCTGGTCACGCTGACATCTTGGCCATCTCTCTCCCTCTCTGCCACAGTCTGGATGACACCAGTCACAGGAGACAGCGCGGATTTCCCTCAAATCGGGCGGCAGGCACAGCCCAGGAATCCCAGGCACGGGAGGGCGAGGAGCGCGCGCGCTCTAGAAACTCTGAGCAAACTTGAAGCCACGGGTCTCCTGCCACCACAGGCTGCCCAGGCCGCGGGGGCGTTTCCTCGCTTAGGACCCCGCCCCGCGCTGCCAGGGGCGGGGCCCGCGGAGTGCCCGGGACAGGAAGAGGGCGGGGGGATCCGAGGCGTCCGGGACTCGCCGCGGGGCTGAAGGGGCGGAGGGGAACTCCCGCGAAATCCCCGGGCGAGAGCGCGGGGCGCACCTCGGGGTTCCCTGGCCCGTCCGGGGGCGGAGGCTCGGCCAGGCTGCCGACCCAGGCCTGCCCCGGGGGCCCGCCCGCGCAGTCCCCGCCCCTCGGCAGCCACCGCCACCGCCTCCGCCTCCCGGCCGCCCGGGACGCGCCCGGCGGGCTAGCGAGCGGCGGGCACGGCTCCCTGTCCGGCGCACTCACTTCCGCGTCCCGCCGCCTGGGCCGAGCACCCAGCCGTCGCCATCGCACACCCGGCCGCTCCGGGACCCAGCTGCCGAGACTCCCGCCGCGGGGAGACCGCCCGCGCCCCCGCCCCGCGTCCTAGGACCCCAGCTCTGGCCCCAGGAAGCCCCGGAGGACCGAGCGCGCGCCTGCGCCTACGGCCGCCACGCTTTGCTCGGCGGGATCCGGCTGGCAGCCTCCGCACGGTGCTGGCCGACCCGGCCCTAGCCCAGCGGCTGCCGGGTGCATTTCCAAGTTCGGTTGCCTAAGGTGGATGGGATGTGCCTTTTCTTTCTCACTCTCTCTTTTTTCTTCGTGCCTATTTCATTTTCTTCTTTGATTTGAAAAAAGAGAAAAGAACTCCGCAGAGCAGGCCAGGGACAGCTGAGTTCCAACTGCCCCCACGTGGACGCTCTCTAGGGGAAAAGAAGTTGGAAGGAAACTTGGTCCTGCTGGTCCGGAGGCCTCAACTTGGACTGGACTCTAGAGTCATGACCCTCACATCGGACAGGTGGAAGTCTTTACCTGTCCTGGGCTGGACTTGAGCTCCGGCCCTTAACCAGCACTCTCTCAGAACCCCCGTCGCCACCACACTCACACCTGGCCTTTAGGCTACGCCTGGACACTGGTCAGCAACATGGATAAGTATGACGATCTGGGCCTGGAGGCCAGTAAATTCATCGAGGACCTGAACATGTATGAAGCCTCCAAGGATGGGCTTTTCCGCGTGGACAAAGGTGCAAGCAACAACCCTGAGTTTGAGGAGACACGCAGGGTGTTTGCTACCAAGATGGCCAAAATCCACCTTCAGCAGCAGCAGCAGCTCCTTCAGGAAGAGACCCTTCCCAGGGGGAGCAGAGGTCCTGTCAATGGTGGGGGCAGGCTGGGCCCACAGGCCCCCAGGGAAGCTGGTGTGGGCAGCAAGCTGACTGTGGATGGTGCTGCCAAGCCCCCTCTTGCTGCCTCCACAGTGGCGCCTGGGGTAACCACCACCACTTCCACTGGGCAGCCCATATACCCACCCCAGGAGCAGAGGGCCAGGCCACATCTCCATGGCATAAGGCCTGGTAGCCAGGACTGTGGTTCCAGGGAGGGTCCACTGAGTTCCGAGAGGTCTGCTTTCCACCGTCCCTGCGAGGATCCTTCCTGCCTCACTCATGGAGACTATTATGATAACCTCTCTGTGGCAAGCCCACCGTGGGAGGACAAACCAGGAGTGTCCTCCAGCATCGGCCTGGATGTAGGGAGTATGTGGCCTGATTCCTCAGGGAGTGACTCCTCATTGCCCAGAACCTGTGGGGACCATCACTTGTACCAGCCACAGCTCTCCCTGAGCTCCAGCAAGTCTTTTGAGAGTGGCCTTGGTGGCCAGGATGGTGGTGTTGGTGGCTGTAGTAGTGAGAAGCCAGCAGGACTTTGGTCTACTGCCTCTTCCCAGAGGGTGAGCCCTGGCCTTCCTTCCCCAAGCTTGGAGAATGGGGCTCCAGTTCAGCCCAGGAACCCTTCTATTTCAGCACCCCTGGCCTCCAACTGTCCCACTCAAGGAACTCTTTCAAGGACAAACTTAGGGCTGGGTTGTGAGATTCCAGGCGTTTTGTCCAAACCCACTGTGGACCCTCAACCCTGGTTTCAGGATGGACCCAAATCTTATCTTTCAAATTCTGCCCCATTATCAGCAGCTGGCAAGGACAGTTCACAGCTAGGTAAAGTCCCTGGGTTGGGACCGAAGTCGGGATGTGCAGACCTTGGCACTGGGCCCAAGCTCAGTACCACCAATCTTGTCCATCCAGTGATGTCCACTCTGCCTGAGTTATCTTGTAAAGAGGGTCCTCCCAGCTGGTCTCCTGACAGTAGCCTAGGACCTGTGCTCCCAGAGAGCCCCAACTCATCCAGGGTGAGGCTGCCCTGCCAAACTCTCATCCCAGGCCCTGAACTTGGACCCTCTGCTGCAGAATTGAAATTAGAAGCCCTCACCCAGCGTCTGGAGCGAGAAATGGATGCTCACCCAAAGGCTGATTACTTTGGTGAGTGAGAACCTGCTGGAGCTGCCCATGGTGGGGTGATGGGTCTCTACCAGGGATGCTGTAGCTGTCTTGAGACGCCTGTGTTATTAATTTTTTTTTTACTTCCTCTTTAAACTGCTTGTCTAGTTCAGAAACTTGAAAGCATCCTTGGGCAGAAGTAGATCTTGCAGCTGGGAGTTACTCATGTGTGAAGGGTAAAGCAGGGTGGGACTATCTTAAAAAAAGAACAGAAATGCTGTGACTTTGGATTTCAAGGGTTTTGGGGTGTGACCTTAGAGACTTTTACAGTGACAGGCTTGTAAGATGGGAGTAGCTTCTCAGGGACAGACACTTCTGAGCAGTTGGTCTGTAGCTTTCAACCGCTGTGTGTGTGGGTGTGTCTTGTGGTTCTCGAGTGTAACTGAAGCAGGTGAATCACTGCTATTGAAGGCTGTTCTAAGGACAGTGGGTCTCTTTTCTTCTTTTCTTGCAGTTCTGGGGATTGGACCCAGGGGCACTTTGCCACTGAGCTACACCTCCAGCTCTTTTTATATTTTTATTTTGAGACAGGGTCTCACTACGTTGCTGAGGCTGGCTTCAAACTTTACGATCCTCCTGCCTCAGCCTCCTGAGTAGCCAGGATTATAGATTTGCGCTACTGCACCTGGCTAAGGCAGTGATTCTTTTTTTTTTTTTTTTTTTTTAAAGAACAACTTTTATTTTTTTTATTTTTAGAGAGAGAGAGAGAGAGAGAGAGAGAGAGAGAGAGAGAGAGAGAATTTTAATATTTATTTTTTAGTTTTCGNAATTTTAATATTTATTTTTTAGTTTTCGGCGGACACAACATTTGTTTGTATGTGGTGCTGAGGATCGAACCCGGGTTGCACGCATGCCAGGCGAGCGCTCTACCACTTGAGCCACATCCCCAGCCCCAAGGCAGTGATTCTTGAAGTGAAGAATCAAGTGATTCTTGATTTCTGGTTAGAAATGGAAGCTCTGAGCTCTACCCCCAGACCTACTAAATCAAAAATTCTGGGATAGAATGCAGCAAGGAGCGTGGACTCCACCAGCCAGGTGATCCTGATGTGAAGGGAGATTTGAGCCTTGCTGGACTAGGAGCCTCTTAACTCAGCCCACACCCAGTAACAGCCAGCAGCCAGGTGGCACCCACAGCTGTGTCTTGAAGTAGGAAGGGAAATGCTCCTTGCTGGTTTTACATAAATGTGCAGATTTTGTTTTATTCTTTTTTTTTAAGCCACAAAATCTGGATGACTACTGGATTCAACTTTTTTTTTCCTCTGCACAGGTTTTGGAGGGGATAAGAAGGTGGCTATATCCTGCTGTTGAGTGATGATTTGCTTATTTCACAGAACTATCTAGAAAGACAGCCTATTCTGTCCGAGACCTGTTATTTTCCACTTTTGAACTCTGGATAATTGGGCTCTGATTCTCCCATAGCCTCAGTCCTACAGCTCTGTGGAGGGAAGGGTCAGGGAAGGCCCTGGGTGGGGAAGATGACTGGCTTACTGCTCCTAACCTATGCTTGCTGTCTCCCCTGAAGTCCTTGGAGAGGGTGCTAAGTGGTGGGCCAGTGGATAACTCTGCAACCTATGGTAGTGTTTTTGCCCCTCATGAGAACTTCTGGGGGCTAGCTTTCCCCCTGCACTCAGCAGTTGGAGGTCAAGGTTACTGTTTGTTGATTTATTTTTTAAAGCATGTAGCACGTTCTACTGTGAACTGTCCTTTCCTTGCAGAGTCTGACCTTGCGGATAATATTTAGTTGGAGATGTCATGGGTCTCTTATTTTTAAAAAACTTTTAACTAAAAATAATTTTTTTTCTTTTCTCCATGAAACTGGGGATTGAGCCCAGGAGCTTTCTGCCTCTGAGCTTTTAAAGTTTCATCTTGAGACAAGGCTCTTGCTCTGTTACCCAAGCTGGCCTCAAACTTGGGATCCTCCTGCCTCTGCCTTCTGAGTAGTGGGGATTAGCTAGAACTATGCCTGGTTCCATGGGTCTCTTAATTTTGATTTTAATTTGTTTAGTTTTTAATTTCAAGCTAATAACAAAAAAACTGTTTTATTTATTCAGGGATGCAAGTTTGCGCTCTGGGTCAGGGCAGTGACCAACACTATTAATTCATTCAGTATCTATACTCTGAGCCTGTATCCTGAGCCAGCTGTATTCTAGGCGTTGGGGATACAAAAGGAACAATACTGACAGAAACCTCTTCCTCCCTGGACAGACAGTGCTTCAGAACAGGCAGGAAATGAGCAAAGCAAATGAGCAAGAGAGAAATGGGATTTTCACCTTGAAGTGAAAATGTACATCTTTCTCTCTGCCTGACCACTGTTAATGCTGCTTGGAAGATGTTGGGTTCCTATTCAGCTGGCTCTTGGGAGGTGCTACCTGCAGGTGCAGGTGGCTTCTGTTTGCACAGCTGTTCTTGCTGCAGAGGGATGCCGGGTGGGCATGTGTTTTGTTATGCCCCGTCCTGCTCTTCTGGTTTTGGGTCCTCTCCTCATTTACTAAGGAAAAAGGACACAAATAACCACCTGCTGGGCTGGATTTCTGGGGAAACTGATTCTTAGAGTTTAGTGTGCAGGGGGCTTATTCACAGGTGCTATTGGGGTCCCCACCTGTGGATGGGAGGGGAAGGAAGCTGCAGAGAAGAGCTTAGCTACAGTGACCCCTCCAGGAGCTGGGGGTTGGAAGAACCCTTCAGTCCCATCCTGAGTTGGGCTGAGATGACCTGGCCTTCACACTCCCCATGCTCAGCCATTGGATGTGGGCCACCCTGGGGAGATGGTGACCTTGGGCAAAGTAGCTCTGTGTAGCTAGGACAGTCCTTGCAGGGGACTGCCAGCGGCACAGCAGTAGCTGGACCACTCTGCTCTTTCAATGAAGTATCCTCCACATTCCCTGCTCTTGGGGCAGGTGGCCATGGGCACCGTGTGTCTAATAATTGCTGCTATCCGTCAAGTGCCTGTGATGTGCCAGGCATTGGATTCAAGCTTAGGGGTTATTATTGTCATTTAATCTTCACACAAGTATGACACAGGCTCCATTGCTCTTTGTTTATAACTGAGTCCAGAGAGGTTAAGTGACATGCTCAAGACCACACATGTGTGGGTGAGGCACTTCTACCCTCCTTGGGGCTTTTCCTTCCACTCTGGTGACTCGCTTAGTGGAACTAGGTGGTTGCTTAGTGGAACTAGGTGGTCATGCGTGTCAAGTTGGGTGCCTTGTCTTTGCCTCTCCAGATGCCTCCAAGTGCACTGGGGGCATCTGTGTACTCCCTGCCCTTCCCAGACCTCCGTCCCCTACAGTCAGGACTCCAGACTGATGTGTCTTTTGGACCCACAGCCCCGTGCTCTTCCTCCCTGTTGTGGGTAGACCTGAGGATCGTTCAGTGCAGAAGCCACCCCAGGATAGAGCCACACATTGCCCAGTGGGGAGAAGGCTCTGCCACCTCTGTTAGGCACCAGAGGGTCAGAAAGGCAGGAATATCGAGGTTTCAGGGTTTCCTTTCTTCTAAAAGTGGATGGATGGCCTTCTCTCCACCCATAAGGAGAGAGAAGAGACTGGTTTTGTTTTTAGTTTTATATTTTTTTGTGGTGCTGGGAATCAAACGCAGGGCCTTATGTATGCTAGGTACAACATTCTATCAGCCAGCTACATCCCCAGCCCCAGTTAAAACAATAATAATAATAATAATAATAATAATAATAATAATAATAATTAGTACTAGGGATTGAACCCAGGGACGCTTTACCACTCAGCTACATTCCAGCCCTTTTTATTTTGTAAGACAGGGTCTCCCTAAGTTGCTGAGGGTCTTGCTAAGTTGTTGAGGCTGACCTCTAATTTGTGATCCTCCTGCCTGAGCTTCCTGAGCGTATGGAATGACAGGTGTGCGCCACCACGCTTGGCTGTCTTTAGTCTTTCTGATGTTGGTGGACATGCCTGCTGCAATATTTAAACCCAGAAAGGCAGAGCCCACCCTCAGCCTGGGTGCCTGGAAACAGTTGCGATTTCTCTTGGGAATGGCTCTGCCCTTGCCAGGGCCCCAGGGAGCCTGTCCTGCCTGACGTCACTTTACTGGCCACGCAGGTGAAATGAGCTGTCCAGACAAGGAGCACCAGGAGGTCATCCCATCTGCCCCTTCTCATCTGAGTCTCCTGTCTCAGTGACCTTTTAAGCACCTCTTATCTGACTTTATTAGTGATAGATGTGTGACAAAAGGGGCCGAATTCTAGCCTACATGGAAATGGGGAGCATTTTTCATTAAAAAGGAAATAACACAGGCCAATCCTGTCATAGAGCAGCATCTCCAGAATTCCAGGACAGGGGTCTGTCAGCGCATCCCAGAGAACCCATCTACTCCCAGCCCCCCAATATCAGACATTGCATTAAACCCAAGGCAAGTACTAAAGTAGAAGGTGGTAGGAGCTCATCAGCTACTCTGAGTCTGCTTTCCTAGGAACTGGCAATGCTTTTGGAGATTTTCTGCCACGCTTTGGAGTCTAGGCTTCCACTGGACATGGAAGTTAATTTCTGATCCTCTGGGTAATTTTTGTAAATGACATCCAGGATTCCAGTTCTGCCTGTCTACCCCTGCAGGTGTACACCCTGGGCTATGGGGATGCCCAGACCTTGAAAAATTGCTCAAGTGTTTATTTATTTTTTTAAGTGGACTAGGCACTTAAAGTGCCTGCCCCTCAAGGTTAGGAAGGCAATGACTTTTTATCGATGCATATAGTGTAGGCATGCAGTAGGTGCTCACAAAGTGAACACGAGCACCCAGATCAAGACAGAACAGGACCATCACTCAGGAAGCCCCTGGGGCGTTCACTGTCACTGCCACCCTCTAAGGATCACTGCAGCCCTTTCTTCTCACAATAAAAATGAGTTTTCGAGCAAGCGTGGGGTTTGAAGTAACGTATCATGGCGTGTCTGAGGATGAGTGGAGATGGTAAGGTTGGGACACCATGTTGGCCCACACTTTAGCTCTGTCCCTGT